TATGGAAATCAGTATGGAGGTATCTCAAAAAACTGGAAATGGAACTACCTTATGACCCAGCAATTCCACTCTTAGGTATTTATCCAAAAAAACCCAAGATACTAATTTGAAAAAATATATGCATCCCTATGTTCATTACAGCGCTATTTACAATAGCCAAGACTTGGAAACAATCGAAATGCCCATCGGTAGATGACTGGATTAAGAAACTATGGTACATTTACACAAGGGAATATTACTCAGCTATAAAGAAGAAGGAAATCGTACCATTTTCAACGATATGGATGGACCTAGAGAACATTATGCTAAGTAAAATAAGTCAGTCAGAGAAAGACAAATACCATAGATCTCACTTATATGTGGAATCTAAAGATCTGAATAGATGAGAAATGTAAACAGAAATAGTCTCAGAGACACAGAGGAAAAACTGATGGTTGCTAGTAGGGATGGGGTGGGGATGAAGGAGAAGGGGAAAAAACGAGACAATATAAATTGGTAAGTATAATATGGCCTCAGGGATAGAAGGGAATATAATCAATAATGTTGTAAATATTTTTTAGGGGGCCAGATGGACTCATGTCTTGTTAGGGAGACCACTTCATAGATGGTGTAGAGGCCTGACTGCTGCACTGTATATCTGAAACTGATGTTGAATAATATTGTACGTCAACTATAATTTTATATACATATGGTCATGGGATGTGGAGTAGAGTGTGGGAATGGAGTCAATGGAATTGTAATAGATAAGTATGGTATCGGGGGTGGGAGGGCAGTGGATGGGGAAGGGGGACTGTCACGTTGTGAGGGGTGAAAAGGATAACTATTGCATTGTTTTGTACACCTGAAACTAATAAAGAAAAGGGAAAAAATATATAAATAAATAAAAGAAAAAGAAAAAAAGAAAAAAACAGAAAGAAACAATAGAAAGTATAGTAAAGGGGCCAACTGAGTGGCTCAGTTGGTTAAGAGTGTCAGCTCTGAGCAGCAGGGTTGCTGGTTTGTTTAAAAAAAAGAAAAAAAAATACAGTAAAATTGCAGGATGCAAAATCAATGTACAAAAACTCCATTGCACTCCTATATACTAACACTGAAATTTTAGAAAAAGAAATGAAAAAAACAATTCCTTTTGCAATTGCAAAAAGAAGAATAAAATATCTAGGAATAAACTTAACAAAAGATGTGAAGGACCTATACATTGAAAACTACAAGACATTAAAAGAAATTGAAAAAGACACAAAGAAATGGAAAGAATCATGGATTCTTTCATGGATTGGAAGAATCAACATAGCTGAAATGGTCATATTCCACAAAGCTATATACAGATTTAGTGCAATCCCCATCAAAATCCTAATGGAATTTTTTAAAGAAATAGAACAAAAAATCATCAGATTTGTATGGAATCACAAAAGACCCCAAATAGTCAAAGAAATCCTGAAAAAAAGAATAAGGCCAGAGGTATCACACTCCCTGACTTCAAATTCCACTACAAAGCACCTGAGCAGTTCAGCGACAATGGTACAGTGATTAGAAATACATTTATTCAATCATTCTCCATCAAACAATTTAAAGAAATGTATGTAACTACTCAGAAATAAAATATACTGGTACATTTTGTAAGAAAAAAATGGGTGATCTTACCTATAATCTTGATTATTAATTAGTAATTCAAGGTTTTGGGCTGATGATGAATCTATCATGGCTGTCTGTTCACTACCCTGGAAACAAATCTTCAGCGATTTTGGTGCATAAACTAAATTTTGAATAAATTCAACATATTTTACTAAAGCTGCAACAGCTGCAAGGCAGTAATACCTGTAAGGTGACCAATAATATATCACTATAAATCTTTAGAATAAAAAAATTATTACTATAAAAGGAAACACATATTTCACCTTAATATTAGGGAAATTATAAATATTTGCATAAGACTGCTTAAATTCAAAGGGAAAAAGTACACCACGTATCCTGATTTTTGAAAACTATGTAAATTACCTCTAAAACATAAAAGTTGATAAAAATATATAATTTTCTGAAGTCTGATGCTTAAAGGATAGTAGATTCCAATAAATCACGTGTTAGAAGTCAACATTCAATGGCAATTTGTGTCCATTTAAGACATACCAGTCTAAGTATTCAAATATTGTTGAAAGAGTATGAGCTTTAAGGGTGTAGTCTGGAGGTCCCAATATACAGGCAAGTCCATTACGATCTCCATGACTGAGATGAACTGAGTAAACAAGTGATCCAGTCTGGTTCAAACAAAGTATCTATTTAGCACGTTCTAAGATGATAAACATTCCAAAAATATCCTTCACTGTCTCATGCCCAATCTTTTAGGAGTAAAAGTATGAAGCAACAGGAACACAGCTTTAACTGTTTCACTTCTGTGCCCTCTTACTTCTATTATAGTTTACTGTAGCTATTTGAGCTTTTCACGCCAAAGTAAAGTGAGCAGCAACCACTAGGGCAATGGATTATGACTAATTTGGAGAAATCCTATATAAATTAAGTTAGCAAGATATGCCTTGCATGAAAATTTTAGTTAACTATTTTACTATTTCAATAATTACTCAGTTGTACTGTGAGCAGGCACTTTTCTAGGTGGTAGGAATATAGCAAACAACAAAAGACCTTGCCCTTGTGGAATTCACACTAAACATTTATTACTTTCTTAAATCATAACTTACTTGGACTGAACCTCCATTAGGACAGTGCTGAATTCTGCTATGCATAACTGTTCAATGTACTCTAATCCTTTTGTTTCATTGAAGTATTTCCTTTGGACGGTAGTGAAATTAGCGCACTGAAAAAAAATTTTAATTTCAAAATAAATTTTAAGTTCCATGCACTTGCCCAAAACTGCTTCCTTAGAAGTATGTCTGTACTTGGGGCTTAAATATTACATAAAGTTAAATATTACATAAAGTTTATTTTTTAATGTTTTCCAGAATTTAATACAAAGTTTTCTTAGTTATTCACAAAAAAAAATGACTGTTTTGTTAAGTGAATTACAGGAGAATCTGTAGTTTTTATTAGAGCATGCTCACATGAAATTTAACTGAATATGTTAGAAACAATAATAAAAAATAAACATAAGCGTCTCTGCCTTCCAGTAATTTTATTCTACAGCAAAACAACACACAGGTTTTACAATCAGCCTTACGTACTCTATCATAATTGAGAAAGAGTAGATCTTTATAACGTGCTAGTTAAGGAAGATGAAAACATCAATTCCACCTCTCAAATCTATGAAATGATATCTACATGAAGGGAATTTAATTTATTTAAAATTAAAAAAAGGGCTATATGGAATTTTTTAAAAGAGAAAAAAACATGAAGTTGTAGAATAAAAGGTATAACTACTTTGAATAAAATTAATAGGTAAGAGGGCTGGCCAAGTGGCTCAGTTGGTTAAGAGCTTGCCCAAGAGTGCGAGCTCTGACCAACAGGGTCACCAGTTCGATTCCCACATGGGCCAGTGA